CCCACAGGCCCCACGTGCAATGACAGCTAACTGAATCCCTGACCACACTGGGGCTTTCAAACTGCATTGCTCCCAGACGATGGAAACAGGCTTTCACCCTGCTGGGCGGGGAGTCCCCTACAAGGCCAGACCCTAACTGAGGTGCTAGCAACATCCGCCCAGTGCAAGGCCAGTGGATGGGCACAGCTACCCATTCCCAGAGCTTGGACAGAGTTGGGAGCAAGACCTGGCTCCAGGGAGTGACTAGAGCCTAAGAAGTCTCCAGTCCTGACCCATCTGAGCATCGCTGCCTCCCAAGAAGGGAGGGAGACTAAGATCCTCTCCCCCCACCTGGCCCTGGTGATGCTGCAGTCCAGCTAGGAGCATGCCACCCCACTTGCTGGAGAAGGAATGGAAGGAGGGGCGCTTTTTACTGTCGATGCCTTGCCAATTAAAATAGCTTCTCGAATCCATCTGTGAAAGGAAGAACGAACCCCAAACTAGGCCTGCCTGGCTTGGCACTCCTGAGCACAATGCACCCCAGGGCTGCCATGCTACTGATCTTTGGGCCCGTTTTGTGAGAGCACAGCCTACATTTTTGGGGTATGTGAGGGCGCAGTGTCCCAAGAAGCATGCTGGAGCCTGCTGGATCTTTAACTAAATAATTATAATAGAAGCCAGCCTTTGGAACTCCCTATCAAGATTATCCTGGCTCCCTTCCTCCTGGCATTGGTCAGTTTCCATCAACCACTCCAGGAGAAGGAAGCTACATAGGGAGTGTGTGTGTGTGTGTGGGGGGGTGATCTGCTATGGTGGGGCCCATTTCCAGTCCCTTGTTGCTCATATCTTTATGCAGAATTCCTCTGGGCCGTGTCCTCTAGTTCCTTGGACACCTTTGGGGGGGGGGGGGGGGGGGCGCTTTCCGAGATTCTCTGCTTGGTGTCCCACTCTGGTTCCCTGATTTTCAAACTTTGACCTCACTCCCATTCCTGTTTTCTCCTTTGTTGTCCCCTGTAATCAACTGGAGGCTGGACTTCGTGATTTCTCCCCTTTCGTTGATGGGGAGGGGTTTTACTTATGGATGGACCTAGACCAGCCTGCACCAGTACTTCAAATAATATCAAGTGAAAAGGTTTTGCACCAAACCACCATATGGAAAGAACACTGAGAGTGCAGACACAGAAACTGTCCCCATCATTTTGCAAGCCCAGGTTGTAAGGGGGGGGAAGGATGAGGTCTTTAGCTCAGGTCCAGTTGAACCTGTGTAGCCTACAACAATTTCTCCCCAGTGTGGTTGGGAAGCCACAAGTCATGCAGCTGCACTACTTTAGCCAGTCCTCCTAACTCCATCCCACAATGAAGCAGTGCCTTACATTTAGGATTTATCCCAAAACTCCAGCTTCCAGCTGGCCACTACGGAAGAGGTGTCTCAGGAGCCCCATAATGTGCTGGCACAACCCTGACTGTAGGGTGTATTGTGTGATGACACTACAAAATGGTTCTGTCAAATGCAGTCTTGATGAGCTTTTGTAAGAACCAGCAAGACAACAAACCATGTTCTCTATCTAAGGTACTTATGTAACTATTATTATTCCCCTCTATTCGGCACTGATGAGGCCACATCTGGAGTATTGCGTCCAGTTTTGGGGCCCCCACTACAGAAAGGATGTGGACAAATTGGAGAGTCCAGTGGAGGGCAATGAAAATGATCAGGGGGCTGAGGCACATGACTTATGAGAAGAGGCTGAGGGAACTGGGATTATTTAGTCTGCAGAAGAGAAGAGTGAGGGGGGATTTGATAGCTGCTTTCAACTACCTGAAGGGGGGTTCCACAGAGGATGGATCTAGACTGTTCTCAGTGGTGGCAGATGACAGAACAAGGAGTAGTGGTCTCAAGTTGCAGTGGGGGAGGTCTAGGTTGGATATTAGGAAAAACTTTTTCACTAGGAGGGTGGTGAAGCACTGGAATGGGTTACCTAAGGAGGTGGTGGAATCTCCTTCCTTAGAGGTTTTTAAGGGCAGGCTTGACAAAGCCTTGGCGGGGATGATTTACTTGGGGTTGGTCCTGCTTTGAGCAGGGGGTGGGACTAGATGACCTCCTGAGGTCCCTTCCAACCCTGATATTCTATGATTCTATGACCCACTTCTTCGGATGCATGTTGTGGGTTGTAGCCCACGAAAGCTTATGCTCTAATAAATTTGTTAGTCTCTAAGGTGCCACAAGTACTCCTGTTCTTTTTGCGGATACAGACTAACACGGCTGCTACTCTGAAACCTATGATTCTATGACCCCCATCACTGTAGTACGAGTGCCTCTGCAATACAGTGTCACTAACATTGCTTTATGCTAGTTCAGATAGGGCTTCAGTCTAAGCTACTGTCAAACAGCCTGCAAACTCCAACAGACCATCAATCAACAGAATGTAGGAATTCCCACACCAGATCAGGGCCTCAGAGATCCATCCTCGGACCGTGGCCAGCATCACATGTTTCAGAAGGATGTGCAAGAAACCCCCTAGTGGACAATAATGGAATAACCTGCCCCTAGGGGAAGGGTCTTCCCAAAATCCTTTCATAGTTGGCTTGTACCCTGAAAGAGTGTTCACATTCTATCTAAAAATATTGGTGTTAATATCCTTTCTGAAGGAGCTATAGACGTCCTCATTATCAATATAAATGTCCATTCTGTCTTAGACCCTTAGCTTCATCAATATCTTGTGACAGCGAGTTCCACAGCCGAATTATGCTTTGTATAATGAATTTCCTTTTAACAGTTTTACATTTGATGTCTTTCAATTTGACCATCCCTTTGTTCTAGTAATCAGAGAGGGTGAACAGGAGTTCCTGATCTCCCTTTTCTAGACCAGTGGTCTCCAAAGTGGGGTGCACAAGAGGATCCTTGGGGGTGCGCTGCAGGAGGACTTTTTTTTTTTTGCGCTTTGGCAAAAATGGTAGAGCCGGTGCAGCAGGGGGTTCGTGCTCAAAATTTTTTTACTGATAGGGGTGCACAATCAAAAAAGTTTGGAGACCACTGCTCTAGACCACTCATTATTTTGTATTCCTTGATGCTTTGTATTCCACACAGCCCTTCCCTAAACTAAACAGACCCCATCTCTTCAATCTTGCCACATACAGAAGTCTTCCCTCACCAATTATTTTTGTCACCCATCTTTGAAACCCATCAATTATTGCTATATCCTTCTGGCGATGAAGTGGCCAGAACTGAATACAGTATTGCTGGTGAAGCCAGACCACTCATTGATAAAATGGCATTATAATATTTTTATTATTACCCATTCAGTTCTTTAAGCACTCTAACATTTTGGTTTTTTTACTATTGCTGCCAACTTTCACTGAGTGACATCCGGGACTTTTTCTTGAGTCATTACCGTTAATTTAGAACACAACAAGGTGTAGGAGTAGTTCAAATTATTTCTCCCATGTGCATTGCCTTGCATTTCTCAACATGGAATATCACTTCCCACCATGCTGCCCATTCACCTAGCTTAACGGGGTCCCTCTGAAGTTCCTCAGGGTCTTCTCTAGTCTTAACTAACCTAAATGACTAACCTCATCTTAATTAATTAGCCTCTTACAGTTGGTATGGCTACTTCCACCTTTTCATGTTCTCTGTATGTGTAAATATTTCTTACTATAGGTTCCATTCTATGCATCCGATGAAGTGGGCTGTAGCCCATGAAAGCTTATGCTCAACTAAATGTGTTAGTCTCTAAGGTGCCCCAAGTACTCCTGTTCTAAATGATCCTGTGTCACCTGCAAATTTTTGCTACCTCACCTCCTTTTCCAGATCATTGATTAATATATTAAAAACTGTGGTCACAGTACAGAACCTCGTTAACCTTTTGCCATGTTGAAAATAATCCTGCTCGTTGTTTTTCTGTCACTTAGCCAGTTTTTGATCCATGTTAATTCCTTATTTCGGACTCCAGTTTCCTTAGTTGCCTGTCATGAAGGACTTTGTCAAACGCTTTTTAAAACTCCAAATAAACCATGTCAGCTGTTCTCCTTTTTGTTGAATTCTAATAGGAAGCAGAGGCATGATATTCCTTTGCAGACGCCAATGCAGATTGATCCCTATCATCTCATGTTAATTTAGGTGCTTTACCATTCTATTTTAATGATTATTTCAACCAGTTACAGAAGTAAGGCTCGCTGCTTTGCAATTCCCAAAATCGCCCCACCGCCTTTTGCAGGTACAACATTTGCTCCCCTTCAGTCCTCCAGTCCAGTAACGGGTATTAATAAGAGATGGCACGTTTTATCAGCAGTTCAGCCACTTTATTCCTCCAGAACTCTTGGGGATACCCTGCAGTCCTGGGGACTTGCGGCTCCTTAATTTACCAGTTCCTTCCAGAGCACCTCCTTTCTTGGTGTCTCAATCTCTGACCCGGCCTCCTCGGATTCCTTCGTGGGCAGTCTGCCCTGGGACTTCAAGGAATCAGGGCAGACCTGGAGGCCGAGGTGCCAAGGCGCCCAAGATGGCCCAGCCCCAGGCGAATGGCAGCTAATGCTGAGAGTGGATTTCCTCAGCTCAGGCCGACTGGACTCTCCCAGGCAATGGGATCCCTTCTGCCTGTGAAAGATTTCCTCCCGCGGGCAAGTGACCAAGTGCCACTAGACCTGGTGGCCCAGCGGGCTACCGGCTTTCCCTCGGGCCTGTTCACGGCCCAGACCCCCTCCGCCTCCATCCGGAGACATCGGACGGGAACCGACGCCGGCGGTGGAAGCGGCCGCGGCCCCCCCCCTTGGCTTGGCTGCCAACTGTTCCGGCGCCGGAGTCACACTGCGCTCGCCCTCCCGCCGGCCGGGCCTCGCCCTCCCGCCCGTGTCCCTGCGTCAGCGGCGCCCCCCCGCCCCGAACGGCCCGGCCCCGCGGGGGGGGCGCCCCAGGGCCGCGCTCCGCGCTCCCCGCGCTGCTCTGCGTTTGCCATCTTGTCCCGGGGGACCGGGCGGCGCGCACCGCCCCGCGGCAGGGCCGGGCCGGGCCGGGCCGTACTCACATCTCCAGCACCCGTCCTCGCTGCCGAACAGAGTCATGCCCCCCGGGCGGGGCCGGGGCCAGCCGGACGCAGCGCTCGGCCCGCTGCAGCTGGGGGCTCGGCTCGCGGCACCCACTCGCGCGCGCCCCGCTCGCCAGCAGCTCCTGCCCCAGCCGCGAGCGGACGTCGGGAGGGAGGGCTGTGCAGCGGAACGTACCATCTCCTCCAGTGGGGAGGGGGGGAGGGCTACGCGCGCGACGCAAACCATCTCCGGGGGGGGGGGGGGGCGTGTATTTCTGTACCATGAGCTCAGCGCAGTGGCCGGGGACCGGGGTTCGGGGCCGCGGCCCGGCTCCAGGCGGGCCCGATCCTGTCCCCACTGGAACCAGTGGCAAAACTCCCACCCCGGGCAACGGGCCTGGGGCCTGTAGCAGGCGGGGGCAGCGCTTCCCGGCCGGGGCGGGCTCTGCGCACCCAGAGAGGCTGCCTGGCCGGCCCTGCTACCCCACGGGCCCCCCAAGGCCAGATGGGGGGCGGGCATGGAAGGAAGAGGGGGGCGTGGGGTGGGCATGGAAGGAAGAAAAGGGGGGCTGGGGCTGTGGGGTGGGCATGGAAGGAAGGGGGGCGTGGGGTGGGCATGGAAGGAAGAGAAGGGGGTGTGGGTGGGTATGGAAGGAAGTGGGGGGCTAGGGGTGTGGGGCAGGCATGGAAGGAAGAGAAGGGGGGCTGGGGGCATGGGGTGGGCATGG